AATGCAACAACAACAGGAGCAGTTTAAGCAAATTTAGCAAACAAGACACACCTAGGGGTTTGAAATCATTGTAGTTTATTTTAATCACAATAAACTGACTTGCAAAAATTATCATACACCTACAACTTTGAATTTTTCAATTGTCCAAACAAAATTACATTTCAATAAACCTCTTGTGAAAGAACACCACAGTTTAGTTTTCATTTTTGGATTAAAAATAAAACAATAAATCAGGGAAAGTGCGAAAGATTTAGAGATCTGTTGGGAATAATCTGTAGATCCGGCATTTGGAAGAGACTCCGTTGACAGAAAGAGTTGAAACTGTTTTGTATCTTTGCCAACAACCAGGACAGCAATCCTAAATCTACCAAGTAAAGGATGAAGATTAAAGTCGCAGTTGTCTTACAGAATAAAGAAAGTTGGAAGTTGATATTAACAGAAGCTCTCCTTCCTGTCTGACTGAGATATTATGCAAAAAGAGAATAGGAAGATATGTTTCTAAAGCAAAATAAAGGTTATAATCAAACATTATTCATTATTAATAAGGAAAGCAATGTATTGTTTACCTAGCATTATTTTCTACTAGTTTGTGTTGTTCAACTAAGATCCAAATGTTTTATAAACTAAATAAAAATATACTTTTAATCAGAGAGATCATACAAATGATTCTTGCATTTGATTGTTTTAGTTGTACTTTGTGTTTCCTGTGTTATAGGATACAAGTTTCTACTGCTTATTTATCTGAAACCTATTCTTCTTCTTTCTTTTATTTTCCAGAGTAATCAGGCGGAAACCACAGCCAGACCCGGAGAAAAACAAGCCCACCACAGCTTCTTCTGCTGTATCCGAGGTCACCTCGAATACCAAACTCTCCTCCGTCTCTGAGCTGTCGTCCAGGTCTGAGCGTACAGATGTTTCCTCCTTATCCTCTAAATCAGCACGCACCTCAAAATCCGGACAGACGGCGAGGTCAGGGCGGTCGTCCGTGACGGGGCGGACCCCCAGATCAGCTGGAACCTCAGTTTATGGTTCGGGATCAAGATCTGGATCTGATTTTCGGTCATACACCTCCTTAGAGTCCAGCGTATCTAGTTTGTCCGAATCTAGGAGCAGCAGTCGCAGCAGTAACAGCAGTCGAAGCAGCCGCACGGTGTCCACACCTGGCAGTGTGAGAAGTGGAGCCACGCCATTCGTCAAAAACTCCTACATTTGAACTGATTAATTCAAACATCAAATACTAACGCAGTTATTTTTTTCTTCTTTTCCTTGAAGTAATTAAGAAGATTAACATTTCATCTGCAGTGAACAGTAGTTTGAGCAAACAACATATAACCTTCATCAACAAGCATTGTAAGGGCAGCAGCAGTTTGTGGTGTTGCATTTTTTCTTTTCTTAAATAAAATGATCTGGTCAAATAAGGCCAAAGCTGATCTTTTTTGCCTTTTTTTTTTCAATGATGTATAGAAGCAAACCAACACTTTCCATCACCCTTAATGGGCAGTGAAACACAGCAGAGGCAGGATCATTACTCTGACCAATTTAAATTAACGCTGTTCTAAATATTTAAAGCAAAAAGATGAAAACATAATTTCATCCGTTAACTAGAGCAAAGCTAATTGGCAGCAGAAAAAACTGAGCAGCTTCTTATATATGCTGTAACCACTGATCCCTATTTATTCACTGGATTGCTGATAGGCCTTTGGTATTGCACAGTGCTGTGAAGTCACCAGCCACCAGGGGCGCTGCCAGGAATTTGGAGCACCATGAAATACACTGATATTGGGCCCAAAAAAGATTTTTTTTTTATGTAAGCTATAAATCTGCTATAAAGATGCAATGGAGATTATCATTTACTTTGTCAATGTAATTGTTATTGTAAAATTTCTACAAAAGAAAATGATCAGAATGTGAAACAGTCAAATATACATTGACTTTAAACTTTACATTTACATCCTATCAAAAAAAAAACCTATTTAAAACAAAAAACACAGCTGTATCTATGTACACATGAATAGAAAATATGTTCCTATTAGGTTTCACTATAACTTTATAGAAAAATATATTATTTTTTGATGCCCCTGAGAACTAATTTCTCATTATAATATATATGTAATGACAAAACATGTATTTTTTTTTAGGTGGTTGCTTCAGGCGGCTTATGGCAATGATCCAGATTTATAGATGTATATTAATGGATTTGATTTATTGTGAATATAAAAATCTAACTAAACAGTTTTAATATTGGCACAGATTTTAATACAGGCTGCTGGACGTTACGGAATGGACTTCAGCTGTCAAGGATACAATGAAAATAGATGGAGCTAAATAAAAAGAGACTTCAAAAGACTTGAAATTCATAATTTACAGTCAGAGATGCAAAAAAAAAAGGCTTCTCTGCAACTTTTAGCTTCACCTGCTGAGCGAAAATATATATGCATGTCAGTCTATAACTATATACTCTTTTGTGGCTCTAAATATGCAGTTATCTCTACAATTCCAGTAAAAAGTGACTGGACAAATTTCTGACTGATGGAATAAAGGGCTCAAACTATGTATCCTTCTCACACTTTTTCTATTAGTGAACTGCGTAGACTTTGCAGTGCTTTGGACAGTCAAACATGGGTACCCAACATAAAAGGGACATTTTAAAAAGTGCCATTTCAGCAAGAGTTTTATATTGTTCTTTTTTGCTCTTTGCAAGTGTACATCCAGGGTGTCAGAGGCCTACTGCTGACCGGGCTCTGCCTTGGTTTGGTCGGGATTGTGCTATCGTTTTCCAGAGTGGAGTGCACTTGGCTCGGTGGGAACCCAAGCAGCAAGAACAGGGCGCTGATGGCAGCGTCTGCTTTCCAGTTTCTGGGCTGTAAGCAGGATCTGTTCTAGAAAGCTCTATCTTTTTTTGAAGGCAGCTTTTCGGAACGCCTACTCACTGGTTTGTCTCGTTTTTCTTTCGGTGTCATCAACCCCTCTCTGATGTGGCCGGTTACAGTTTATACATAAACAAAGTGACTTCAGCTTTTTTACACAGGAAAGCAAACCCATCAAAACTGAGGTGGGGCAACATGCTTGGTAAGAATGTTACACAAGAATTTAAGAAATATATACAAAAATCCTCTTTCCAATTAAATCTCTTTAGCTATGAGATGGTTGGTCACTTGGTTGAACCATTCAATATGAAACTGCATGCAGGGTTTACTTACCTTTACAAAAAATATAATAGAATCCAGAAAATGACACATTTTCCATCTTTCCTTTGAATCCTCTCTGCTACAGACCTGCTTCATTTCCTGCCATTAAACATAAGAAAAGGGAGGCATTATCAGGGAAAGGGCGTATACACAAATCAAGGGTCTCATCTTATGAGCCAGCCACTATAGTCGTGTAAGAATTGCACTGACGTTGTTGATGTGATTTATTCAGGTTTAAAGAGCTTGAGCTAAAAAGCCACATATAAACGACCAAAACAGTTCTGACCAAAGATAACATAAACCAACATAACAGACCATCATGATGACATCCGGACAAACATACTAACCAAGTGTTCCGATACCTTCTGAATAAAACTACTTCAGAAATAACATCACGTCGTCGGCTTAATATGAGGTTTAAATGTGGACCTGGAAAACTTACTTAGGTTAATTACTTTTATTTATTTATTTAAAACAGTGTCCTGTCTGGCGATGTGGCAATACGAATAATTATTGATCCCAAAAAGAGCCCAACAGATTTTGCTTTCACAAGTGAAGCAGTAGGGCTATTGCCAGAGTTCCGCTTGATTTATGCATATAGATTGCTCTATTATAATTCATGCAGGGAGTATTATAGATTATATTGACACTGCAATGTAAATAGAACCGGAAAGGAAAAACAGGAAAAAAGGAGAAAAGATAAAAGAAAGGAGATAAAAGGGAGATAACGATAAAACATCTTCAGTCTGCTTCAGCACCTGCAAAGAGATGCAAGAAGAACAGCACAACCAACGGATATAGTATAAGAGATACAATAAAGTAACACCTTGATACTATCACTAAAGCATATGTAGTATTATTTAATCTGACATGCATACTGTGGTAGTTGAAGATAAGAATATGGGATTTCTGTATGGACGTGAATCTCTAAGTACCTGTAGTTGTTTGTGAGAATGCCTCTGTGCATGTAAGTTTATCCAAAGGAAAAATGCTCAATGGTGGTTGTGAAGAGCCGAAGTAGCGCCCCTCCAGAGCACCGAGGCGAGTGCCGGGGGACCCAAAGCCTCAGACACCAAAAGGGATCCCAAAAGCAAAGGCGCTGGAAGACTTACTTCAATGGTAGATCAGCATTAATATGATAATTGGTGACAATATTGATGTCTGCCAATAATGAACGGGATCACTGTCACATAAGCTACATAAAAAGTGGTTTGTCTAATTTTTGTAGTTAAAAGCATCCTGTTTACCAGAACACTAAATAATCTGAACAAATAACAACTTGACCAACATGAATAATAAGAATTGAAAACCTTTTTGTTTCTCCTGATCCCATTTTTAATGAGACACCAATATAAGCGTCTTTAAGTGTTTACTGATACCTATAATGAAAATAATACATACTTTATTTTATCATGTTGAATATTAAATAAATCTTATCAGATGATATAGCTTAAACATAACAGTAATTAACAACTTACCCATTAATTATAAACCAATGAGTTACATAAGCACTAAACAGAAGCAGATAGAAGTGGATTATTTCTATCAGCCTGCTTACATCCCAGATTTTAGCTGCAGCACAATATTTTCCATTACTTGTTTTTTTCGGCTGATATCACACCGATTTCTACCATTTATATCGGAACATCCTTTTTTTCCTTTTCTCTAAAACATTGGGCCCAAAAGCACCGGTCATGTTAAAAAATAACATGTAAGGCTGCACCTAGAGAGGTGGTTGTAACATTATCCCTTCCCCCAGCTGGGAAGATGAAGGATGCTTACTTGGCACAACTATCTAAAAGATAAGATGAGAAAAAAGCCCAATCTGTTACCACAACACCCAGCAGTAATGACTCAGAGGGAGCCTTCTGCCACAGCTTCCACTCGAAGACGTTATTTTTTCGTAAGGAGGATCGGCACCAACCATGGAATATCGGATGGTGATAATGTACGTGGAGCTGGGCTGCTTTGTGTCCTGCCTGTGTGGCTGGATCCTGGTGTGCTCTACTCTCCCCACAGAGTACTGGACCTTCTCTGAGGTGGGCAGCATCGTCCTGACCACGGCCAACTACTACTCCAACCTGTGGAGAGACTGCATCTCCGACACCACAGGGGTGTCTGACTGCAAAGACTACCCATCCATGCTGGACCTGCCTGGTAGGACATTCAAAAAGATTAATGCATTAATAAAAAGAAAATTCCTTAACATTAAACCAATGATTCCCAACCAGGGGTACTAGTACATAGGTGGTCCACCTATGCTTTATCGGAGGTACATGAAAACATTTAATATTTTTCTTCCCAGATAAAGAATTACAAAAAAAATAGGACTGGGATGGGTTTTCCTCTGTAAGGATTTCAAAACGTATTCACCTTCTAGGCAACATATTTATGTTTTTTTTATTTTTTATTTGTGAAATGAGATATTAGACTGTGCTTTTTCTTGGCTAAGTAAAAGTAAAAATCCTCCATTCTTTATGCTGAGATGTAGAATTTGAAGCAGGTGTGAAAAGAAGGAGATTCCTCCCTAGTTTAGACAAGGGGGAAAATATAGATAAACATGTCCTTACTGTGTTTAAGGTTCTCACGTCCTTTTTCTAGTGTGAACGGATTGTCTGAAATGTTTATCTGACTAAATGTATGTCTTTGATGAATTAAGATGTTTTCCTTCTTTTGTTCAAGTGTGTGAGAAAGCTCTTTTATGCAGGTGGTGGGTTTTAGTTTCATGGGAGAGAGAGTGTGCTGGGATTTTTGAAGAGTATAAATCTATGTGTTTAGGAAGATTAAGTCAGAGCTTCTATATACTGTCCATCTCATGTAAGGACGTTAAATAAAATTGAATATTATCTTGCAAGAAAATGCTTCCTACTCAGTTTCCTAACCTCACAAATTCTAATTGAAAAGAATGAAATCTCTGAACGTTAAATGTTCAAGAGGAGGAAATGAAATTCTTTTGTTTTATAATCAGTTGTACTTTATATTTTTGGAAAATAATCAACATGTTTGACCAAGGGGTACTCATAGTATGATATAATGGCCAAGGGGTTACACAAGTCAAAAAAGGTTGGGAACCACAGCATTAAACGATAAGTGTGTTGATAGATATTCGACGCCCATTCGGTGGCACACATAGCTGGCATATAAATTGGCATAAACACTACATTTAATAGCAGCATATAAACAACTGGGATCGTATTAGAATCAATGTAGCATCAATATATTAGGTGACTTCAAGAGGAAAGGGTTTTTTAATTCTAGTTCAAAGTGTTAAGGCGGCTGAATGCAAACTCACTTTCCAACTAATTTCTTAAAATTGTTTGCCCCTATGCAAGGCATGTTTATTTATAAAGCACAATTCAGTGCAAAGAATTAAAAGTGCAATAAATGAATTAAAGAATAAAAATAAATGTAAAATTTTCCAGTCTTCTGGAAGTTTGTTCCATATCAATGGATGATAGGAACTAAATGCTGCTTCTCCATGTTTGGTTCTAGTTCTGGGTAAACAGAGTAGGCTGGAACTAAAAGACCTGAGTGGTCTTTGAGGGTTGATCCACTGACAACAAATCTGTTATGGATTGAGATGCTGATCTATTCAGTGATTTATAGACTAACAGAAGGATTTAAAGTCTTTAAGGTTTAAATTTAAGGACTTGAGGACTGGTTTAATGTGCTCTACTTTTTGTTTCGGATCAGCTGCAGCTGTCTGATGGACATTTTAGGGAAAAGTCTATATTACATCTCTTTTGAGCTTAAAATTGTACCTATATGTAATAAAATAATATTTTATGATTTGTGTTTTTTTTTTAGAAACAAGTTTAATATCTTTTTTTTTTTTTTTTTTAGTTTGGCTGCATGCTCTCAGAGCACTTGCAATCTGCTCAGTCATTACAGGCTTCTTCGGAGGCGTCCTGACGCTCATTGGAATGAAATGCACCAAAATTGGGGGAACAGAGATCATCAACTCGAGGGTGACGTTTTCTGGAGGCGTAACATTCTTAGCTTCAGGTTAAGATTTTTTCTTTCTTGTAATACTGTTAAAATTCAAATATAAAGGTATTGTTAATGAAATTAAGGACTTTTCCGGCAGGATTTTGTGGGATGATTACATATTCGTGGTGGGCTAATAGAGTCATATCGCAATTTGTGGATCCAAACTACAAGGCCCAGAAGTGAGTGATATTGAATTATTGAGTTGCATTGAATTGTTAGGAAAATAAAACTTTCAAGTCAGAACTAAATAAAAGGTGAATGAATATGAGTGGTGTCTCTTTATTCAGGTTTGAACTGGGTGCTGCTGTGTTCGTTGGCTGGGGAGGCTCCATTCTTCTCATCTGTGGGGCAGGTGTGCTCACTTTCTTCTCTGGGAAAGAGGGTCTCATATCAAGGTGAGGCTATATTTCTGACGTGAAATGATTACTACCAAGACTTTCTGGGAGAAAATGACCATGTTTGTGTCCATCTCCTTTACAGTTCATCTAAAAGGCCTCAAAGGCCGGCTTCTTATGACACTGTCCGTAGCAGACGGACGTACATGCGGCCGCCATCATCATCCAGGGTGACGATAGTGCCGCCGCTGTATTATTCAGGCAGGAGTCAGACAAGCAGAGGGACAACAAGGACTCCTTTCATTCAGAGTCGGGATACCTTTGTATGAGCTCAGAACTCAGTTTTAGAGTTTAAAGAGGAAAGTATACCAAAAAATCTGCCACGTTTGGTAAAAGACCAAAGAGACTTGTTAGTAAAACTGACATATTAAAGCAGATATTTTATTAATCTGTTAGTTTTGCCAATAAAATAGGTAGAGATATAATTTTGATTTCATAAGAATCCGTTGTCCAAACCAAGAACAGTTAATATATTTATTATTTGGGGCCAAAAGGTAGAGTAACAAGAAAACTTTTTATTTAATGTAAAGCAACCTTTACTGAAACCCCTGTTTTTGTAAGAAACCGAACCCTTAAATTATGCTTTTATTTATTTTTTTTTTTTAAGTTTTTTGCTTGATACAGTAATTTAAATATAATAAACTTGTTTTAATTTCTCCTTATTCATTGTGCTGTACTAATCTCACCTTTTCCTCTTTTTTCTGATGAATAAATTCTTGTCCTAATTTCTCATTTTGTTGAGTGCTCTGCTTTTAGCTGTATTGTTTTTAAAGATGCATTAATAAACTAACTACAAGCCTAAGTCATCTGTCATATCTGCGGAAATAGTTTCCTAAATAAAAACAATCTGGTTTCTAAAGATTTGTAACACACAGTGATTTACATTGTAAAATATACACAATGTTTTGAGAGTATTTGCAGAAAAGTCAAAATATTTTATGGAAAGTTATGTTTTAAGCATTTTTTTAAAATGGAAAATTGACTCATCAATAAAGAATAAGAAAGGTTATTTGTGCTTACTGCTTATTTTATGAAAGTAACATTTTCTGATTTGATTCTGCAATGATTAGATCAGGCTTTCAATGCAGGAATTTTGCAAATAAAATTTTTTTTTTTTTTCCTTTCGTTGCTGGACTTCATGCAGGAATACCTAAACCAAAGGCTGTCAACTTTTCACCAAACCTTGGGGTGAGATTTTGAAATAGTTTGGACAGAAAACCCTGTCAGGATTCGATCAAAAGGCTATGGGGATAAGAGCAGCTATAAGGTTGGAGGTTTTTCAGAGGATTTAACTGAAACAAAGTGTCAGAATGTGGGATTTTTATAGCACAGTAAATGTTGCTGAATAACAATCAGTGACCCATAGTTATGTGGAACAGTTTTCTCACAATATACATTATTTTCTACATACTGGTGATTTTTTTAAAGAATTGAAGTAAAGAAGAATGGGCCCTACTAAAATACTTAAATATACTTTAAACTAAGAATTTTAAAACTTAGTAACGGTGAAAGAAGCATTTTATACAACTCCAGTCTGCCACATCATACATGTTTGCAGATGAGGAGACATCCATGGCTCCAGCCATATCACAATATTACACTTTATTCTTAGATCAAGGACACTGCTCTCATTACATTTCCAAATCTTTGCCACGTACGGAATGAAGATTATAATTGTAAATAGCCGGACCAAGGAACTGGCCTAATTAAATAAACTATTTCAGTAAAAACATCAGTTCTGACACACATCAGGCAGGTAATATTAAGGTGCAACAAACTCACACATAATAAATTATAATTATCCTAACATTACCATTCATGATGATGCGGTCATAACTCACCATTTCAAGGGCGGAGCTAGATGGGTGGCGGCATTGGGTTAACTTGACCCCTCTGGAATCTGATTGGTTCCCTCAGCTCCAACCCCCTCCAGATTGATTGACTTTATTGATCTCACAGTGGAGAAATCTACTTGTTACATCAGCTCAATAGTCAAGAAGTGCAAAACGGAGATAAAGGTGCATTGGTTATATACATTATATACAGAGCGTCCATATACAGGGATATTGCACTGGGTATTAAATGGGTTTTATATAGTTATTGCACTGTGTATTAAATATAACAAGGTTTATTGTACAGGGTATTAAACAGTGATTGCACAAGTTATTGCAGTTATAGTGCACTAACATGGCAGATGGTTGCCCTGACAACACAGCAGTTCCTCCTACACATTAGCTGGTGCTATTTAGGAGGAAAGAGTACAAGAAAAGTATTCAAGTAAAGGTAGTTAAACTTCAGCTCGAATACAATTAGGTTCATAACATAAAATGTTTAACTTAGTTGCATTTTTGTGAGCAGATTATCTCTAATCGTTTTCAGGAAGGAAAAGATGAGATTTTGCATTTTCTCTGACTTTCAGGTCCCTTCCACAGTCTAAATACATTACTGACATTTGGATGGGTTAATTGGTTACTTTAAACTCACCATAGGTTGTAGTCAGATGTGTTTCCAAGTTGTACTAAATTTAGATATTCAGAATTGAATCCCTACCATATTTTTTGTCTGACAATCTGTGGTTTTAAACAACAAACCACATTAAATAAACCTAATTCAATGCAACTTTGGTCTGATTGAATACCTAAAGGAAAGTAAACAATTACATATTTGATAATTTTATCAAAATACAAACCATGTGTCTCATCAGGTTATCATTTCAAATGAATCTGAAATTATTTGATCATGGGGGGAAAAAAAGCATTTGCATAACCTTAATCTTAAGGTTTAACACCATTTAGATGTTTAATAGTCATTTTTCTTAAAATAAAGAAAACTCTTGTAATAACCAGACTCCTGTATTGAACCATAAATGTTTAAGAGTCAAATATTTTTTTTAGAAAATATTCTAATGCACAAACAGAATACTATAAATTTGTTCATTAATAAACATAATTAATTCAGAAAACTGGAGTTAAAGCCAATGGCGGCTTAGGCTAAAATGAAATAAACTCAGTTTAATCTGCTGATGCCGTATGAGTGGAAGGATGACTGGAGTCAGTGGATACAAAACCTGATACTTTTTGTTTAATGAATCAATATCAGTTTTAGATCAATACAAAATTTGATGTACAAAACCTGGTAGAAATGAAGTCTGAAAAGATCTAAGGCAAAATAAAAAACAACCAAGGCATGAAAAGCACCTTAGAAGAAGAAGCCATCATCTAGTTACTCACTAAAACATGAACAAGATAAGCATGTTTTGTCATTTAAATGTTATTGTATTGCTTCTTCTCATTTAGGTACAAAGTCAGTAGAATAAATAATAAAAGCTCTTTGGCATTGGCTGGAGATGTGAGGGGAGCTTTCTGTGCTACGTTCGCCGCTCTGCTGTTAATTATTGCTTATATCCTCGGAGTCGCTGAGGTCACTGATGGAGAACGAGCTGCTCTTCAAAGTGCTTCCTGTTCCAGCTTCAGTCAGACCTATTTGAAACAAAAACGTCTTTTTCACCTTTCCTCAGTCTTGTTTAAAAATTGGATAAAATGGTCTAAAAACAACCAGATTTTCCTGTTTAAGGCTCCTGTGTCGGAGGCGAGATGCCACTGACCTGATTTGGGGCCTTTTCCGGTAGAACTTCCCCAGACGCTGGTGCTGGATGAGTCCAGGCTCTTCTTCAGAGGTCCAGAGCCACGGAGAGGTGCTGGCTTAGTCGCTTCAGGTTTGTCCTCTAAGGAGGAGACCACCCAATCGCTGCTCTCCTCTAGATCTGTAAACTGTAAACGACGACATTATTCCTTTGTTCTGTAGGTCACCATTAAAGCATCAAACCCAAACAGCAGGTCTTACAGAAAGCTCCTGAACCTCATCCTGTCTCCCTGGTAGGACGCTGACGCCCCCTGCTGGTTTCTTCACTCCTCTCTCTGCCAGCTGCGTTTCAACCTTTCTGACCAACTTAAAGACTTTATCTAAAGTAAAAAAAAAAAAAAAAATGGTGAAGCTAAAAAATAGAAGAAAACAAAGTAATTTATTTGATGTGAAACAAACCTTTATCTTTGTTTCCTTTATCAATGTTACCGTTCTGGTCTTTAAAACCTTGCAGCTTTCTCGGCTCAGGTTCCATCATTTCACTGACGTCCGACCACTCATCTTCCTCGCTCTCCGTCTTTGCGTTTCCTTGCGTTTTCACGCTGCCCACCGATGGTTTAGAGGAGAACTGGCTGACTGCTGTCTGCCTGGACAGGACCGGGGTAGCTCTGCTGGATCTGATTTCCACCGGAGCTGCTTGGTTTGATTTGAGCTTCAATGACTTTGCCCTCTGCTCTGGCTCCTCCTCCATCTCAGACTCTTCCTCCTCTGAACTAAATGGTGGAGTTCTTCAGAAAAGAAGACATACAGGCTTTTGATTACAATAAATGTTTGTTTTTGAGGTAAAATATGTGAGAAAATAGTAAATACATTGATTTTTAAAAATTATTCAAAACTTATTTCAGTTTTTAAAGTTTTCCTGGAATTTTATGTACTAGAGCAGAGGTTCCCAAACAAAATAGCAAGAGTTCCACTTACTCTGACATCCAAACTTTTTAAATAAACCAATAGAAATATTTTAATTTAACATTTAAATAAAAAGAAAGGATAGCAGATATGTTTTTACAAACTCAGCATTACTCAATTCAGTTTATTTCTTTAGCGCCAATTCACAACACGTCATCTCAAGGTACTTTACAGTTCACCTGATCATCCAGTCAAATTGATTCAAGGTTTTCTATCCAAGGAAAACCAGCTGATTGCATCGACTCATTGACTCAAATTCAATCCCTCACACTAAGCATGCTTGTAGTGACAGTGGAGAGGAAAAACTCCCCTTTAACAGGAAGAAACCTCCAGCAAACCTCCAGTGTGAGCGGCCATCTGCCGAGGCCGACTGGGTTCAAGGAGACAGAAGCAGACATTATGCAACTTGAAACATAGCAAACAGCGCCGACTTTCACCTTAGTGGAAGAAATTTGCATTTTAAACTTCGGATGAATGGGGTCAAGTCAATTCTTAGGCATGTAATCATTTCTCATTCATCATTGGTGTGCATAATCAGTTTTTAACAGTTAGAGATTTATTGATCAGATACTGATGTGTTAGTTGGACCAGATATTTGATAAATGATGCCGATCCAGAGTGATGATCCAGTCCTTTTTATAAAATAAATATAAACAACAATACAGTTACAGCACTTCTATTCTACAGGGTTTATACAGGAATGAGAAACTCTAATTTAATGCTTTTTAATGCTCTTAGAAATAATTTTAATGCCATCAACGAAGCATATATATATATATATATAAAACCCCGGCAAAATCATTTATCATCTAAGTTGTTTTTAAAACCTTTTTTTTCACTATAATCATATTTAATGAATTTTAATGCCACTTAAGGCCTTAATTTAAAAAATAATTATTTAATGACTTTTAATGATTTTTAATGACCAGCGGACCATGTTCTATGTTTGAGAAGCCGGTTATGTCACAACGCTGAAATGAGGAGCTATTGATCACAATTTATATCAGTGATGGATTGTTGCTTTTAAAAAAA